ACACAATTGCTTTTTTTGTATCTGTGTTCTCAACATACAAGGGGGACCCTAGAAAGACTGGAATTTATTTATAAAAACTTGCATATTTATTTTTACGTGTTTAAACTTCAGTCACCTTCAACGTACTTTCCATTTGGTGCAGTACATCTGTCAAGATAATTTTCTCACTGCTCACAACAGTTTTTGAACGCATCCATTTTGATGCCTTTTAATGCTTCTGCCATTTTTGTTTTACCTATTCCACATTGGCAAAATGTTTCCCCTTGAGGGCTTTTTTCATTCAGGGGGAAAAATGTTGCTCAGGGCAAGATCAGGTGATTAGGGAGGGTGGGGCATGAGGGATCATGCTGCTTGGGGTCAAAAATTGCTTTACACTCGGTGCGATGTGAGCAGTTGTGCTTGTATATCACTCATCCTGAAATGGGCAAACACGTTGGAAGAATCTCCAAAAGAAATTCACTGAAGCTGATTGCAGCCTCTCACAACAATGCTAACTGGTACACTGATGCCGATGGGCTCCTAGAACATTTAGCTGGGGGGGAGCCTGTACTACAAGGGTCCTACCCTCCAAAAGATATTTCCAGTTTTTTGGGTCCCCACCTTGTATGCTTTCCAGACAGTATAACTATCACAGGTAACTATCACAGTAATTGCAGGCTGCTTGAAAATTGTGTCATAAAACTGACCCACATTTTTATAAGTTACCAGGTCAGTTTCCCTGCTGACTTGAGCCAGTCAGTGTGTCCTGAGGGAGTGACCCATTTCCTTGACATGATGGGTGCGAGCCTCACAGATACAGATGCTAGCCCAGAATTTGCACAGGAAGATTCTGTGCTCACCTCTTTGTTTTAGTAAAATCTACTGTTCAGAAGTTGGCAGTGACTTGAGCAACTCCTTTCACCTGGACAAAGCCCTCATTGAGGCTGTCTGAGGTCCCCCCATGGCCAGAGCAGGGCAGTAGTGCATGCCAGAAGTGGTGTCTTGGGTGCCCTGCTTCAGATTAGTGGCAGGGAAGGTTGTGCAGGCGTGGACGCAGTGGTCTGGTTTGGCCACTCGGGGTGTTGGACTGTGGTGAAACTTGTGTGTGGGCAGCCATGTTGCCCCACGTTCCTCACGGCCTCTCCAAGATCCCATCTGCTGAGTGTGAAGCCAGTGAGGATCGGTGGGCAGAAAGCAGCGTGGACGACAGGGAAGGTACAGGGGGAGAAGAGAGCAGGGAGGGAGCATAGCTCCGTGGGCTTGGGGTCTGCTGGAAGCATGTTCAGATCCTGGTTTTGTAAGTGCCCAACTTCATGTTTCCTTAATGTGGAATTGTTACCCAACCGTGTCAAAGGTGAGTGATTATGAGGTCCTGTTATTTATCAAATAGCGGCCATCTCTACGCATAATGGTGGTCTTGGCATTACCTTAAAGATCCTGTTTCCTTTGCAGCTGGAGACCTCATCCTCAGCGAGGATGAAATCTGGTATATTGTGAAACCCAGGCACAGCATCGCACACAAGAGCTGGCCATCCAGGGTTTGTTAGGTCACCATTTGTGCAAGAGCCCACCTCATCTGTCCTACATCTGCGGTCCTATGTGGCTGGAGCTCCTTCATGAACCCTTGTTTCAGAAAGCAGGATAGGTGCAGGACAGAGGAGGGACTCCTTCCCCTTAAAGAGTTCCCAGAAGTGCCCTGTTTTCCATCTCTCTGGCCAGAGCTTAGTCTCGGCTACACACACTCGTGAAAATGGGAAAGCATTGTTGCACTGTTTGCTGTGTCTTTGGAGCCCTTGGAGGGGCTGCAGCAAGGAGCGTCAGGGTCCTCAGGAAAATGTCTAGAAGGGAAGCCATCGTCAGTGATGCTAGTAGTAACTCACGTTGGAGGGGTCACAGACATATGCTCAGAAATGTATAGGAACTGTTTTCCTCTGGCCTTCCCTTAATACAGCTGTCATCATCCCACTGATCAGAAAAGAAACTGAGGTCGAAGATGCCAGGCAGTTTGCCCATGGCCCCATTACTCGTAGCAGCAGAGCTGGAGCTCAGAGCCAGCGTGCCTCCTCCAGACCCCGAGCGTGTCAGCATCACTTTGCCCATGGCTCGTGCATTTAACCTGCTGCTTTATTCATATCTGTGGTGGGATCTTAAAGACTTTATACTGTTTTGGGATTTATGGTCATTAGCTTCCTACTCCTTTCACCTAACACACACACACACACACACACACACACACACACTCTCACACACTCACAGAATCCTCATACACATATACCCCTCCTTTGTTTTCTTCAAATCTTTAAGAATTCCTGTGCTTATGTAAAAGATTGTGGGTTTTTTTGAGGAGGGTCGAGTTGGGGTTTTACCCTGTTACTTAGACTGGAGGGCAGTAGTGCAATCATGGCTCAGCACAGCCTCAACCTCCTGGGATCAGGTGATCCTTCCACCTCAGCCTCCCAAGTAGCTGGTTTTACAGGCACATGCCACCATGCCTAGCTAATTTTTAAATTTTGTGTAGAGATGATGTCTCGCAATGTTGCCCAGGTGGTCTTGAACTCCTGGGCTTAAGGAATCCTACTGCCTCAGCCTCCCAAAGTACTGGAATTACAGGTGTGAGGCACCACGTCTGGTCAAGAACGTGTTTTTAATATTTGGTTGGTTAATTGTGAGTTGTCTCCTTGTGTCTTGATTAGCAATCTGTATGTTAGAGTTTTGGTAATTTGTCATTTTCTGAGCACCCTTTCTCCTAGGCACAGCCCTAAAAGCTATTGGGGATAACAGAGTGATCCAGGCAGAGTTCTAGCTCAAAGCACTTGTGATCTAATACCAGTTAGGCTATGACACCACATGCAGATCACATTGGGCCTGGATGTAGACACCTATGTGTCCTTACAATTATAAGTGCGTGATGGTCCTCTGACAGCCAACCAACCCTTCAGAACATTCCTAAGGTATTAGGTAGAGAGACACTTCTATTTTAGTACTCTTTTGTGTTTTTCCCTCAAACAGTGTGGTTTCTATTATTGTGTCTATAGATTGACTCGAATATCTATTTAAAAGCAGGAATTAAACATGTCCATTTGTAAGAAAAAAGTTAATGTCTATTTTATGACATTTTGAATAGTGGCAGAAATAATGGGCAAGTGCATCAGAAGTAGGGACCAGGATCCGTTTGGGCCAGAGCCTGTCAGTACAGTCTGCATAGGTTTTAGCAATGGTGAGCTTTCTACAAGGTCTGTGAGAGGAAAGATGTTTCCCCCACGAGGGAAGAAGTGGAAGTGTGACCCAGGGTGAGAGGCTGATGGCAAAATCTCACAACTGCCATTTCATTTTGTCTTTGTACCTGGAAATTGGGCATTAAGGAACTGCAAAGATTCCTGTTCTGTCTGTTTTTCTACTTTGTTTTTTAGTGCATTCGTTGTTTAATTTTAGAATGATTTCTTTATAAAGAAGTAAAAAAAATTATGTCTGGTACCTGCCTATGAATTATGTTGCCCCATTTCCGGTTTATGTACTTGTAGAAACATTTTATTCCATAGTGGGAAGGTGATTCTTTTTTTTTTTTTAATGGGCATCGCACACCCTCTGCCTCTGGGACTCGCCTAGATGTATTCCTCCCTCGTCTTTAAGGTGCTTTGTTAACTGAGCTCCATCAGTTTGAAAAGTCACTTCTTTTTTCTTAGGTTATTTGGCATACATCGCGTGCATGCCAAATATGATATTGAATTAAAGGTGCCAAGTCTCTTGGTTCTCCTAAGAGGTCCTTTTATCTTTGATGACCTCATTAACTTTATCTAATCATTAAAAAACCGTTTGCCTTGAGTGAATTTTACTTTGAAATGTAACATTTGTCCCCTAATAATAAGTAGCACTTGTGTAGTTTTAGATAAAAAAATAGACCCCAAAAATGCTTTTCTACATTGTTTTCAATCTTTACTGCAGCAGTGAGGTAAACGGTTCATGTTCATTCACAATCATGTTATCAGGGATTCTGCAGTAAACATGACAGATGTGGTTTCCACCTTTCCAAGACATTATGGAGGATACATGTTTATTACAAATGAGGGAGATTTTTTTAAGAGAATCCATAGCTCAGAAAGCGTAAATGACTTGCCCATGTCATGGTCGGTGTGTGATGAGTTTGTATGAGTGTGTAATGGGTCCCTAAACTGGAAAGGCAGGTAGGAAGGACATTTTTTAAGAGTTGTAAAAAAGCTGACCACAGAGGTGGGATGTTTTTCCTGTGGACAATGGGTAACCATTTGAGGCTCTGGACTGGGGTGGTGATGTCATCCAAGTATTTAGAAATAATTTTCTTATAGTAAGGAGCCATTTAATGCAACAGTACCCAACCATTTTGGCACCAGGGACAGGTTTTGTGGAAGACAATTTTCCCATGGACCTGGGATGGGGGGAATGTGCAGTCAAACCTCCAGGCTAATTTAATCTGTATTTGTAGCCACTCTCCAGCGCTAGTGTCACCACTTCAGCTCCACTTCAGGTCGTCAGGTATTAGATTCTCATAAGGAGCACACAACCTAGATCCCTCGTGTGTACAGTTCACAATAGGGTTCATGCTCCTATGAGAATCTAATGCCACACTAATCTGACAGCGGACACAGCATAGGTGGTGATATGAGCCATGGGGAGCAGCTGTAAATACAGATGGAGCTTTGCGCACTCTGCTGCTGCTAGCAGCCCTTTCCTAAGAGGTCACAGCCCCAGGGCTGCGCCTAGGGCTTTCTTACCAGGCTATGCCTGTGATGAAGGCTCTTTGAGCATTTTCTAGAGTCAAGCATGACATTCCTTCCTGCTGTCTTCCTTGTGGAGCTAACCCCACATGACTTTCTCTGTTCTGGTCTATCCCAAGGGGGTCAGGGGAAGTCCGCTAAAGACAGATAGCTGTAGGAGTATGGAGTAAGGGTCATGACTCCTAAGTGGGTCTCTTCCTCCCTGTGTGAGGTTCTGGGTCACCAAGGCACAGGCGGCGCACTGACATTGGCTCGTGGCTTGTGTCCTAGGCATTCTTTGTCGACCACAACTCCCGCACCACCACCTTCATTGACCCCCGGCTTCCCCTCCAGAGCAGCCGGCCCACGAGCGCCCTGGTCCACCGGCAGCACCTGACCAGACAGCGCAGCCACAGCGCGGGGGAGGTGAGTCACTGACCTGCTGACCGGTAGAACCTTCTGGGACGTGGTGGTTTGTGGATTGGGGCTGGTTTTGTATTATTTTCGTTTTGTTTTTCAAGTTTGGATTAGAGACTGTTACATGGAGACTGAAAAGCTTTGGCTTCTCTGGAAATACATATAGTCTGAATTACAAATTTAAAAGGTGGAGCGGACATATGAAGAAAGATTGGAGAAATTAAAGATTCTTTATTTTTTTTAGCCCATAAAAGCAGGAGTGGGAATTGATATTGTGCTAAAACGTTCAAGGATGATAAGCCCTTTTGCCCCCTCAGTGACAGCCTCATAGGAGGAGTACATGTCCCTTTTAGTGGGTAAGATGTGGTTAACTATAGGGAAGAATTTCTTAAGCGATGCTTTTCTGGATTACTTGAAAATATTTATCCAAGGCTAGTGGGATCCTGACTAATAGTCTTTAAAATTAGGGACCATCTGAGAGCTGATCTGTGACTCTTGGTGCCTGAGAAAATGGGCTGGACTAACTTCCAGCACTCTTCTGTGCCCTGCCTCGCCCTGCAGTGGCCCCTAGTGACCACACGGGGGCCTCCAATACCCTTGCCAGAAAAACAGCTCTGGTTTCATTTGCTTCTTTTGCTGCTTAAATACATTGAAGGAATGTTTTAGGCCGCATTTTCTTCTCCTTAATACGAGCTTGGGATTCAGGTGTGGATCATTGCTTGCCGCACATTGTTTCTAAAAGTGCCCTTAGACAAGTGGCTTGAAGTTCTTTGCCTGCAGGCCTTTTCCAGTCTATGTGCAGATTGTATTTTCAACATTATTGTAGGGCAGTTATTTCTGTAGCCTCTGCCATAAGAAAAAACTACAAATGCAACAAATAACCGGATTTGATTCATCAAAATTCCATATCCCCTGTGACTTACATACCTGCTCTAATACATCACGTGTTTGCTGCCTGTGAGTGTAAACACAGAGAAACACACACAAAAGCACACATGTGGGATATATAGATATACTGCAGGATGAGACATGTGCAGAAACATGTGAGTGCTTGGTGAATCTTGACCTTGCTGTCACGCAGCCATTCGTGGTAAACAGTGATGTCGGCAGACTCCATCCTAAGAGCAGGATAGCCTCTCACCTTTGGACCTACTGTGCGATCACGTAGCATGCTCAGAGCTCCGCCTGTCTTTGTCCTGCAGCCAACCAGGTCCTTCCACCACTGTCTTGTCATGATATCACCATGTGAATCTGGCTGTCTAGTGGCGACCATTGACCTAGGAAATCATGCATGAGGTGAAGGGCTGTCCCCATTCTTCCTTTCAACCCCTCCGCCCTAAAAATTGAACTATTCTAGTAGTCTGTGATGGGAGAGGGGCCTGAGGGAGACGTGAGATGGACATAGCAATGAACAGAGACTGCTCCAACCAGATCCTCTGTCCAGCCTTTTCCCAGGAAGATCATGCAGACCTGGCCACAGAGCATGACACCTGCAGTGCTGCCCACAGAGTGCTGGCCATGGCTGCTGGTCCCATGTTCAGATGTGAGGTTCCAGGAGAAAGACCTTTGACTTTTCTAGGAATTGAGGACATTTGGCAGCATACTACCAGGAGATAACGTTGGTGTGTTGAAATGATAAGTTCTCTGACTGACAGACAGAAGTGTAGTGAATGATCGAATCTCCCCAGAAAGTGGGTGAAATTATTCCTCAAGGCCAGTCACTCAAGAGAAACAGGTGAGGAAACTTCCAGACTCAGACACAAGTCTTCCCAGCCACCATCTCACACTTGTACAGCAAATATCCCATAGGAACTCTGGGATCTCTTCCATCTATCGAGTTGCCTTCTACCACGTAGAGACATAGCAGCTGGTGCTGTGAGGGTACAACTAAACACCACATTTTGTGCATCCTCAACAGGAAAAGAGAATATGAACCTGTATTCCAGGTGAACAGAATCATGAGTGAAAATGCTTTGTCAACTGCTTTTTAGGCGTTAAGAAAGACAAGTATACTTTAATAACTTTTTATTTATTTATTTATTTTTGAGTTGGAGTCTCACTCTGTCACCCAGACTGGAATACAGTGGCCGGGAGCTTCGATCTGCTGGGTTCCGGCGATCCTTCCGCCTCAGCCTTCCAAGTAACTGGAACTACAGTCGTGCACTACCACGCTCGGCTATTAAATTTTTTTAAAATTTATTGTAGAGATGAGGTCTCGCCAAGTTGCCCAGGCGGGTCTCGAACCCACGGGCCCAGGCAATCCACTCACCTTGGCCTTCCAAAGCACTGGGATTACAGGCTGAGCCACCAAGCCCGGCATAATAACCTTTTTAGATATTTTCTTTTTAATAATTCCTTTCCAGTTTTATAGAGGTATAGTTTACACAAGATAGGAACTCTTCACAATGGCAGCTGCTTTAGAAACACACGCTCGTGGCAAGGGAACTCGGGGAAGGTTGCATGTAACTTGGTCCTTGGAACGAAAGGCTTTGTTGAGGAACTGCCAGACGACACTGTGAAGAACGAGCAAGGGCAGACTCAAAGGACAAGCAAGCCGCGGCGGGGGGACGGGGGAGGATGTTTCTAGCCTTTAGAAAAGAGCCTTTAGAAAAATCTTTAGCAAACACTCAACTGAGGCAGGATGGTGGAAGGGCTGAAGAGGGCTGTAGGTGGGAACAGACACTCTGTCTTCAAGTCCCAGGTCATGAATCCAGGGCAGATGTTCTTGTGCCTTGCTCTTTTATCCTCTTATTCTGCTGTTCTGCTGTTGTCTTGAAAATCTTCTGAAAGTGGGGGAAATGCCAAGAAAAAGCTAAAGCAACGTCAGAGTTTCCTGGTAAGAATGTTAGTGGGCGTTTGCGGTTCTCTGTTTGTGTGTATGCGTTTCTAAATCTATACCAGGTCCATGAGTAATTCAGGTCAGGGCAGCCCTATTTAGCACCTCCACACCTGCTCCCATTACCGTCTGGTGTGGGAGGCTGAAACCAGAAAGAGCGGTTGTGCTGGGTGTTCTAACAGGCATGGAAAATTGCTCTTAAGGAGACAATGGCTCATGGAGCCCCACATGGAGACTGCTGAGCTCCGCCCCTCCTCTGCTGAGCCAGGGAATGCCCAGCCTGCCCGGGAAGAAGAACGCGTATCCCAGCACTGCTCCTGGGACGTTTTGTGCCACTCTACTCTTCCCTTGGACTGAATTGTCACCGATTGTGTCTGTCAGTGCAGAAGTCATTTCTGATGGACAGGTCTGCTGTTTCACTGCTGCAGCCTCAATAGTTATAAGTAGACTGAATGACTGCTGTGCCACTTGGGAAACAGTCATGGCCCCAGCCCCTCAAGGATATGGACACCTCAATCCTTTCCCCCAAAAGCCCTGCCTCAGCCCCACAACTGGTGTCTGCTCTGGTCATGCTCACTGTTAGATTGTTGGAACAACTTGGCTGGCGGAGCTAACCTGGAGCACTCTAGCTCTTGGTGCAGATCATGAATGATGCTTGCTTTTTCAGGTAGGAGAAGATTCTCGACATACAGGACCACCAGTTCTTCCCAGGCCATCCAGCACATTCAACACAGTCAGTAGGCCGCAGTACCAGGACATGGTTCCAGTGGGTATGTCAACTTTCCAGGAATTTCCATCTGTGCCTTCATACCTTTGCATGTGCCATGCATGCTATGTTGATATATTCCTGTGCTGATACTTGCGTGCTACTTTTTGCCCTGTGTTAAGAAATTACTGTGTTATACTTAAGAAATGTATAACAAAATACTAGACACTTGAGTCTCAAAGGGCTTCTGTCTTATGAAACCCTATAGGATGAGATTTGTTAAATTTTACTCTACCTCTCCTAAGTAGAGGTAGTATATTAGATTTTTGAAGTTAAGTAAAAATAACCTATCCCGATGATATATTATGCAATCATTATCAATTAAGAATTTGGACAGCGCATACTTAGTATATATTTAAGGCTTGGGGCAGAATTTAAATAGTGTGAGAATCTGTAGTAGCCTCATAAGATAAACAAGCAATCCTGGCACATTCCTAAGGGTTTTTGTAACAAACAAAAGGCAATGAGGGCCTCCAAAATAGTAGAATAAAAGTGAATGAATATGGGCATATAAATCAATTTGAGCTGTTATTAAAACAGTGAGGTTGAAGTAGACAATTATTCTTAAGCCTGGAGCCCCTGGGAAGATGGAGCAGATGGAAGGAGGCCCCATGGGCTCCCTGTCCTGCCTTCTTAGAGCAACTTTCCATTGGTCTGTTTCTGCTTTAAGGTTTTTTCTAAACAACTACAAAAAACTTTATCATGAAATGCAATGTAATGCCCGTGACCTAAGGAAATTTGACAACCACTGGATAAGAAGAAATCTAGGGTTGAAGTCTAGCAGCCCATTTTTTTTATGTCATTACTGATATGATTCTAAATACTGCACATGGAATTTTATAGTATCATAAAATTGTTACTTTAAAGTTATCTGGATTCTGATCTTGGCTGGAATCTAGACCCCAATTCAATTATTAAAGTGTTGCGTTATTCATATATAACAAAATGTGCACTTAGGGACACTTTGAGTTGACAATGGGATTCTATTTTAGCATATATTCTTAAATAAATATGTAAAATTTTAAAAAATTGTATTCACATTCAGCTAACATGTATGAATAGATGACAGTAAGCTGCAGCTAAAATGTGAAATGGCAGATGTCTTCAGAATGATGCTTCTTCTCTGTTATCATTTGTTACTTGAAGAAAGGCAAGCATCTTGGTCATATCTCATACCAGGATCTCTGACACTGGAGAATACAGACACTCAGTCTTAGTTCTGTAAGGTGAATATATTTATACCTAAGACTTCATCTTAAGTAAACAAGTTCATGTTATTGACAAAGGAAGCATTAAGAAAGCCCTTAGTACATTTTAATTAATTACATGTAAATTTCTCTAGCCAGCCTTAACTAGGATATAGATTTTTTAATGTATTTTGTACACAATAACAATGTGTACAATATTTAAATACATTTTGATGACAATGATGATCGTTCTGTGGCTATTGGTGTTGTTGGACTGATAAAGAGTTCTGTGTGGCTTAATGGTGTTTATTTTCACGTAGAGTTTGGGAAGGATTTGTCCTCTGCATTGTGGTCTTTGCAGTTGCTGACAACTATTGCATTTTGGGGGCTCTAGTTCTCTTTACCCTGCTGGCTGACTGATAATTAGTTGGAAGTTTTTCATGTCTGACTGTTGTCACTTCTATGAGGTTGATTTTGGTCAACTGAAAGTGTTTAAGATATAGAATCTTGTTGGTGATCTCATCTTGCCATTTGATAATAAATGTGACTCATGAAATGAGTTTAATAAGCCACACCTAACAAATCTAAGTCCAAAAATCATATAACAGGTTAGATACAGATTGGTGGTGATGAGGATGTGGCTTCAAACTAGGACACCGAGTATGAGGAATATTAACCAGGAAAATAGATTGTTAAAGCTTGGATTGATATAAAACTAATAACAGATTTTTAAAACATGGTTGTCATTTCTGATTTTTTTCAGCTTACAATGACAAGATTGTTGCATTTCTGCGTCAACCCAATATCTTTGAAATTCTACAGGAGCGTCAACCCGATCTCACCAGGAATCATTCACTCAGGTAACCATAACACTGGTATTTGGTTCAAGTTGCACAAGCCCAGTCATTAAATCTTAGTAACACTGATGATTGTTTTGGATATTCACTCTCTTTCTGGCATCCTTTGCATAGGCATCCTGTACATAAATATTTTATGTCATCATCATTATCACCAGGTCACTGTGATGCTGGAGTCTCTCTACTGAGTATGAGTTGAATAAGACCAACTAAACAGTCTAGAGCCCTCTTTAAATAATAAATATGCCATTGAAACAAAAATATAAGCCAGGAGTTTATCCTAGATATGCAGATTCTAATGAAAATAATAAGATACTAACATTTTTGAGTGCAGCTTAAGTAAACAAAAATAGCATAGAGTTTATTGATTTGAGATTTGTAAAGTCCTAGACTTGATAGTCACATTTTTTCATTTAAGAAAAAGTAGAATTTAAGTAGGGAATATGATCCTCTCTAAAGTTCAGCATTCCCCTGCATGAACCCTCTCTCTCAAATACCCTTCAAGGCATCGTGCCTCAAACCCAGTTTTACTTTCCTAATACATGCTGTTCCTCTTCCCTGGCAAGCTTTTCTTAAGAAAAGATTTTTCTTTAAAACCCAGCACAAGCTTTCCCTCCTTCAACTCTTTCAGCTGTACTGTGGACTCTCATAATCTTGGCTAGTATTTGTAATTCTCAGGGTGCCGCCATCAGCAGGGATGGAAAAGGGAGAATTTCTGCAGAAAATCCTACTTAACCCAAAGTCTAGCTGGTCTCTTTTTCACCTATTCTGGGAGAAGTAGATTTGCCCAGCGGGTTCATCCTGGCCCATAGCTGTGACCCTCAAATACCCATTCACTTGGTTATGCCAAGCTGTTTTCATCAGGATCACCTGAGGAGCTTCATAAACTACAAAACGCCAAGTCTCATCTCCCTCAACTCCTCTCTCTTTGAATTCACACCCCCTATCTTCCCATGCCCTGCCCAGGAATTTAATTCAAGAGGTCTGGGGTAGAGTCTAAGCACTACGTTTTTAAACCTCTCCATATAATTCTGATGGCATAACCGGTTGCAGTAACCTTTGGTCTAGACACGAATATGATGGTTAATTGTGTAATGCATCAGACTGTCCTTTGTACTTTCTTGACTACTTTTGTGCTTTAGTTTGACATTTCAATCCTTTATTTTCTAATTAGATTAAAAGAGCCTGGCAAACAGGGTCTTATTCAACTCATCATTACTTTCCCTCCTTACTACTCCAATAGCTGGAATAGCACTTTGCACAGAGTAGATGTAAACATATATATGTATATAGTTGTTGATTTGAAAATAGCTTGCCAAGTATTCTAAGGATCTTCTCAGTCTCATGTCTTTAAATTTGTTATTATCTTCTGAAGTCTTTAAAGGCTAAGGCTGCACACAATCTCAATTATGATGCTACGAAGTTTGCTTACACAGAAATCATGGCAGTTTCTTGTGGTTAACATGGAACTCAAGTCTTAGTGCTTCCCCAACATAAGTGTGCTGTTCTCAATCACAAAAAGTCATAAAGGTGACACAGATGAGGATTTTGTATGTTTGTTTATTATGGCATCCACTCAATAATCCTTGGTCCCCTGGAGAATGTGTGTAAGAAGTTTCAGTTAATAAAACTGCAGAAACGAGCTCTTTAGTGGTCTAATCAGAAACATTAGAGATTCTAGACCTCAAAGCCAAACATACAAACAAAATTCCTCTTCTTTTGCTAGTCACAAAGTAAGGAGAACTCCATTTTCTCTCTCCTCTGCCACTTCCAGCCATCACTCACACACACATACTCACAACCACACCCACAGTCACATACACTTACACACATTTATACACACACACTCATACACATACATATTCATACACACTTATTCATACACACACTCACAGCCATACATGCACACACATTCAAACCCATACCCACATACACACTCACACACGCACACACCCTGACACAAACATTCATACTCACACTCTTCTGGTTAATCTCTGTTCCTCTCAATGCACCCCATCCCCCACAGAAAAAAATCCAGGAAGGGGAAGTTCAAGAAGCTTTGCACTTTCCTCTGCACCCACATCATTATTTAACCAATTAATATGTCTTTAAATCTCCACCAGTGAGAGATCAGGTGACTTATTCTCCCTGAGCAGGGCGTCTAGCTATCATTCTTCTTTAATGAATTGAAGGGAACCCTCACAGATCCTAGCAGAGGAAGAAGCTTCAGCCAGAGATGGCAGCTTCAGGTTCCGCCTTTGTTTCTTCATGCCTTTTAGCCTCTGAAAATTCTCCAATCTCAAGACTGCTGAAGACTTGCATTTCTTAATGACACCGGATGTCCTCAGGGAAGCACAATCTTTCTTCTAACATAGACCTCACATGGTGCTCTATTATGATGGAACTATTTGATAGGCTTTGAAATATGTACACATCTGTTTACACTTTTTGAAACCCTTTCCAGAATTTGGCCCTGGAAAGAGCTGCCAGCGTGACCCACAGAGGGAGGCAAGCACTTGAGCCAGTGAACTAACGCTGTTCCTCCCTCCAGAGCGTGTCGCCCTGCACCTGCATTTCTGAAAAGTTCCCAGTAGCTAACCACTTCACTTATCATGGCGCTTTAAAAGGGAAGTTCTCTATCTAAGAGAACATTCTGTTTCCTATCGTTACAACTGCATCACAGGAGGAGGGGTGGGGAACTGGCTGAGCTCCTATCTGCTTGTATTTCAGTGATGCTTCTGATAACAGATCTGTGCATGGAATAGAACCCTGGAAGGTTTATTAAACCTCAGAAGAGGAACCAGATGCAGTGGCTCATGCCTGTAATCCCAGCACTTTGGGAGGTGGAGGAGTGAGGATTGCCTGAGCCCACAGGTTCAAGACCAGCCTGGGCAACATGGCAAGACTTCATCTCTACAATAAATCAAAAAATTAGCCGGGCATGGTAGTACACACCTGTAGTTCCAGCTACTTGGAAGACTGAAGTGGAAGGATCACCTGAGCCCAGCAGGTCAAGGCTGCAGTGGCCATGAGCATGCCACTGCATTCCAGCCTGAGCAACAGAGTGAGACTCCAAATAAACAAACAAACAAACAAACAAACAAACCTCAGAAGAGGTTCATTTCTCTGGTTAGAAAAGTCAACACCCAAAAGTCAGTACTTTATCTGTCAAATGGATAGTGTTCCCATTGAATTGTTATATCCTGAAAGATAGTAAACATATGAATACACTTGTGTGCTGTGACATTAAAATAATAGTGGAAATAAAATGTTCTAACATGTTATCCAAACACAAATATATTCATTAGAAAACAACCTTTTAGGACAGGACGGTGGCTCACACCTGTAACCCCAGCACTTTGGGAGGCAGAAGTGAGAGAAATCCCTGAGCTCAGGGGTTTGAGACCTGTCTGAACAACATGGCAAGACCTTAACTCTACAATAAATCCAAAAATTAGCCAGGCATGGTAGCACATGCCTATGGTTCCAGCCACTTGAAAGGCTGAGGTAGAAGGATCACCTGAGCTCAGCAGGTCGAGACTGCAGTGGCTGTGAGCATGCCACTACTGCACTCTAGCTTGGGCAACAGTGAGACTCTGACTCAAAAAGAAAAAGAAAAGCACCTTTCAGCAGCATTTCCTAGGTGGATGGAATGCGATTAAATTCAGTGACTGTATTCATATTGACGTTTGTACATGATAAGAAGGCTGTACACCTGAGGTGGAAACTGAGAATTTCCCCTGTGTGATGATTAGGTCCATCCAGAAACCTGTTCCTACTGGTCCAGCTGTCCCAGGCACCAGTGACGATTATTCTGGTCACCAGGCTGATTCCTCCTGGAGTACTTCCTATATAAGTGCCCTCACCATGAGGACATGATCTGGGACATTGTTTTTCATTCTGGGTAAATTGGACCCTTCCATATTTGCTATTAGGAAGTCTGTGACTTGGAGCCCAAGGAATTTGGAGGCCCAGGAGGCAAGTGGACCTGTATCTCAGGAGTCACCAGACCAGGAACAAACACAGATTTGGGCCTTGGGCCTTCTGTTTTTTCCATCTTTCTTTTTGATGAGCCCTGGGATTTTGTTATAGTTTTGCTCTTAATTTTTTTTAATTTAAAAATAACTGCCCATTTTGAAATTATCAAGCAATACAGAATTTTAGGAAATAAAAAGTTAAAAGTTCAAAAGCTAGCTTACATAAAACAAATCCTAGTGTTCAAAATTTCTAACCCATTTCTTATCCAGCTTTGTGGCAAATGACTTTTTCTACACTTAATATGAGGCTGGAAATGTTCATTTCAGTTTACATCTGAGCTTCTGGATGAGAACAGCATGCATTGACTTCTGCTGATCCTGAGCCATTTCCTGTGAAGGCTTACCCAACTGTCTCCCATAACCTTTTCCTAGTTTGCTCACTGTTCACTCAGATGTCTGGACCAACATGGCAAGTTTTTGATCTTTGCCATACCAAATTTAAATAATAGAAAATCTGGACTGGGACTGTTATTTCCCTATGGATCATTTATATAGGGACAATTATTGCTTTTTTTAAAGATGCCTGATTAAAATAATCTATTGCAGCCAGGTGCAGTAGCTCATGCCTGTAATCCTAGAAATTTGGAAGGCCGAGGCAGGAGAATCACTTGAGTCCAGGAATTCGAGACCAGCTTAGGTAACATAGACCTTGACTCTACAAAAAATAAAAATAAGAAAATTTGCCAGGCATGGTGGCACACACCGAGTCCTAGCTACTAGGGAGACTGAAGAAGAAGGATTGCCTGAGCCCAGGAAGGAGGTCAAGGCCTCAGTGAGCCATGATCGTGCCACTGCACTCCAGCCTGGGTGAAAGAGTAAAGCCCTGACTCAAAAACAAAACAAAACAAAAAACTATTGTCACCACAGTAATGGTACTTGGGAATTCCTAATGGAGGCGCTCTCTCTGGCAGCTCTTAGAAAAGAGTTGAATGCAGCAGATCTTAAAAGCTCAAGTCTGGGTGCAGT